CAGAGAGGAAGGGAGAGGGATAGAGAGTTAGAAACATCGATGAGAGAGAAACATCGACCAGCTGCCTCCTGCACATCTCCTACTGGAGATGTGCCCGCAACCAACGTACGTGCCCTTGACCGGAATCGAACCCGGGACCTTTCAGTCCACAGGCCGACGCTCTATCCACTGAGCCAAACCGGTTTCGGCTTGTTTTTATTTTTAAAAGTTGTTTTTTAATCTATTTTTTTTTATTAATTTCAGAAAGAAAGGGAGAGGGAAAGTTAGAAACATCAATGATAAGAGAGAATCATTGATCAGTTGCCTCCTGCATGCCCCCTCCTGGGGACCAAGCCCACATCCTGGGCCTGTGCCCTGATGGGGATTTGAACTATAACCTCCTGGTTCATAGGTTGACTCTCAACCACTGAGCCACAACAGCTGGTCGGATTAAGTTTACTTTTTATTGTTGACATTATTACAGATGTCCTCTATTTTCCTCCCACTTCCCTCCTCCACCCAGCTCCTGTCCATCCCAGGCCCTCACCACACTGGGTTGATTTTTTTTTTCCTTTTTTAAAAAAATATATTTTATTGATTTTTTTACAGAGAGGAAGGGAGAGGGATAGAGAGTTAGAAACATCGATCAGCTGCCTCCTGCACACCCGCTACTGAGGATGTGCCCGCAACCAAGGTACATGCCCTTGACCGGAATCGAACCTGGGACCCTTCAGTCCACAGGCCGACACTCTATCCACTGAGCCAAACCGGTTAGGGCCACTGGGTTGATTTCTTAAAGTCATTTTACTTTTCTCAGTCTTCCAATTTGGTATAATATCTCTGGTTTCATTTAGTGGTTACTCTAGAAATCACAATGCATTAGCTTAACTGTCAAAATCTAAGATTAATAACTTTACCATCCTCCTACTCTAGCTGGATAGCTTCTGTTTACCTGTCCATAGCCAATTTCCCCCCTTCCTCTCTCTGCTCTGTGCCTCAGGAGATTGATCCGTATAGATTAATCAACTGGCCCCCTTCCCTCTGGTTGGGTATTTATTTCCCCAACTCCCTCTGCTAGGTCACAATGCGTGGGCTGGGACTCTACCCAAGTCTGGGGTACCTGTCAGTTGTCCTATTCCTTAGAGCTACCCCATTTGGTTCCTGCATCTGTTCTCTCTCCTCTTTTCCTTTGGGCCTAGAGGTGGTGCTGGCTCCCCACTATTGGTTTCCTTAAACCCTGTCCACAGCTTTGTAAATGATACTTTTATGAAACCCTTCTCAGATTACTCAATTTAAAAGTTTGCGCGTGAGGGAAACCAAGATGGCAGCATAGGTAAACACCGGAAATTGCTGCCTCGCACAACCACTTCAAAAATACAACTAAAAGACAAAACGGACATCATCCAGAACTACAGGAAGGCTGGCTGAGTAGAAATTCTACAACTAGAAGGAAAGATAAAAGCACACTGAGACTCAGAGGAGGTGCGGAAGTAAAGTGCAGAGGTACAGAGGCGCACATGGAAAGGGCTGGCAACTGAGGACATGGCTGTCTTTTTCAATCAGGAGGGAGTCTCAAGCTCCAGACTGCTCTGAACTCCAGTTCCGGGGGAATCTTTGGGGACCCAGACTCATACGGGGAGAAACTGGACTGTCTGGCATCGGGCAGAACTCGCGGGCGGCTTTCTCTCAGAGGTGCTTGCAGCGATTATAGCGCGGGACACTGAGACACGGGGCCTCTTAGGGTAGGACTGAGGATTAGCCCTAGCTGTTTGCTCCGCCCTGTTGATTCCCTGAGACCCCGCACCACCCAAGCTGTGTGCAGAGACTTTTGCATATGAAAGGCCTGGCCCTTTGCAATCTGAAAATTACCTAACAAACTGCAGCTGGGCCAGAGAGACCCAGAACTTCCAAAAGAAGGCCCAAGGCCCCACAGCAGCTTGCATTGCTTCACAGCTGGGCTTCATCTAGGCACCTCCAAACCCCAAACAAAGAAGAGGAATCTGAAGATCTCTCCATAGCTCCTGCTGGGTAGCCTCAGGCAGAGGCTAAATTAGCACCTCCTTAGAGATCCAAGAGCCAGTGTACCCAGTGGTCAGAGTGGGATCATCCAGATTACAACTCCTTAGATCTATAAGGGAAACACTCAGGGGGCAGACTCAGTGAGCACCAAAGCCCCACTGAAGCAAGTCTCGCCCCATAAGGGTGTCTCCAGCACAGAAGTTCTCCCACTGTAGACACAGCTGATTCTCATAGCCAATTAGACTGGAGGTAAATTCCTCCCAGTGATACCTACAACAATCAAGGCTTAACTACAGCAAGACTGTGCACAAAGCTAACAAAGGGGTGCACCAAGAGTGTCCACCTCAGGTAACTGGGGAGGCTGAGCTACTGGGCCCTATAGGACACCTAGCAAGAAAACCACTCTATCAACACAGGGAAGCAGCCAAAATGCGGAGACAAAGAAACAGGTCACAAATGACAGAAATGGAGGAAAGCAAACTACAGGATATAGAGTTTAAACCCACACTAATAAAGTTTTTCAAGAATTTTCTAGAAACTGCCGATAAATTTAGTGAGACTCTCAAGAAATCTAGTGATACCCTCGAGGATATGAAAAAGGACCAACTACAAATTAAACATACACTGACTGAAATAAAGAATATTATACAGAGATCCAACAGAAGACTAGAGGATCGCAAGAATCAAGTCAAAGAGTTGAAATACGAAGAAGCAAAAAACACCCAACTGGAAAAGCAAAAAGAAACAAGAATCCAAAAATATGAAGATAGTGTAAGGAGCCTCTGGGACAACTTCAAGCGTACCAACATCCAAATTATAGGGGTTCCAGAAGAAGAGAGAGAGCAAGATATTGAAAACCTATTTGAAGAAATAATGACAGAAAACTTCCCCTACCTGGTGAAAGAAATAGTCTTACAAGTCCAGGAAGCACAGATAACCCCAAACAAAAGGAATCCAAAGAGGACCACACCAGGACACATTATAATTAAAATGCCAAGAGCAAAAGACAAAGAGAGAATCTTAAAAGCAACAAGAGAAAAAAAATCAGTTACCTACAAGGGAGTACCCATATGATTGATTGTCAGCTGATTTCTCAACAGAAACTATGCAGGCCAGAAGGGGTGGCAAGAAATATTCAAAGTGATGAATACCAAGAACCTACAACCAAGATTACTTTACCCAGCAAAGCTATCATTCAGAATTGAAGGTCAGATAAAGAGCTTCACAGATAAGAAAAAGCTAAAGGAGTTCATCACCACCAAGCCAGTATTATATGAAATGCTGAAAGGTATCCTTTAAGAAGAGGAAGAAGAAGAAAAAGGTAAAGATACAAATTATGAACAACAAATACACATCTATCAACAAGTGAATCTAAAAATCAAGTAAATAAATAATCTGATGTACAGAATAAACTGGTGAATATAATAGAATCAGGGGCATAGAAAGGGAATGGACTGACTATTCTCGGGGGGAAAAGGGTGTGGGGGGTGCGGGAAGAGACTGGACAAAAATCGTACACCTATGGATGAGGACACTGTGGGGGTGGGTAAGGGCAGAGGGTGGGGTG